TTTTCAAAACACCAAAAGACAAAGGAAGTTCCCCAATAAGCAACCCAGCTTGCACTTCTGAGCTTTAAAGAGAAGCATTAACATTTCTGTTCTTAATTTTTAAAAGCTTGATATCAAAATAGAAGGAAGTAGACTCTATGCCCAAATCTGAAGTTTTCCCACAGAGGTAGCAATAGTGAACAGAGGACAGACAGATGGAAAAAATAGGCTTTTACAAGTTAAATCCAGTACTCTGAATTCTAAAATAGAAGTCAGCCTAGGATAAATATTAAGGGAACCTGTCCAATGGCAAACTCTCTCCAGTGTGGTCATTTAACAAGATGGTGTTTGTCCTAAAACAGAGATGGAGAAGGAGCTACCATTGCTGTCAGTTTCTCACTACCTGAAACATCGTGTTTAACAGCTGTCTTTCCAGCTCCCAGTCACATCTGTCTCTTTATTCCTTTCTATTTAGTACCCCTGCTTTCTACAAGTCCATTCATAGCACCTAATGAAGCAGGCTGTTACCTACAAAAGCCTGTACCTTTCTGAACAAGTTAATCTAAGGTGCCACCCTGCCCTGCCTTCACTTGAGTATCTGATGATCAAACCCGCACATAATAGTGCCAAGACTTAACTGCCAGTTGGTCAGTTAAGGCGAGCACCAGTCCACCAAAGTCTCCGGTGTGCTCCCACACCTGGGAACACCAACAGGCTGACTAGCACTCCCAGTCACAGGAGCCCTTCAAGGCTCTGATGCACTCCAACAGCTGGAAACACCACAGAACTGGCACTCCCAGCTAGGGGCGCTCCAGGCACCTGGCTTGCTACTATCATGATCCCAGGCTTTTCCTGCACAGAAAATAAAGCACAATTGGGATCTGAACCCCAATCCCACAGCTGTGCCTCCTGCCATGCATGTGTGTCATGGCAGGAGGCATGATTACTGGGATCAGTTCCCAGTATGTCTTTAACTGAATGTCTGTCAGCAGCCTATGTAGTTGAGGGCACCCCAGAGAAGGTGATATACAAAGTAACTAGTTAGGTGTACATTAATCCACTGCAAATTCCTACCATGCAGCAGATGAAAAGGCAGAGCTTTGAGGCCAGCTCCAATTTTCAGGCTCAGCTCAGCTCCACTGTTGAACTGCATGAAGGAGTGCACTCAGCCCAAAATCATTACAGTTGACTTGCCCAGAGGAAGCGTTTAAATTGTTTCAGATACTGAACAATCAAATTTGCCTACTATTTCTTCAACAATTTTCCAGGAAAAAAAAAAGAGTTAATGCTCAACTCATCTTTGATTTAAAAAAAATCCTTAAAAGAGCACACTACAATATATAGACTTACTAATCACTACACCTAGTTAGAAAGAAAACTTTATCACTGTTTCAAGAAGGCATCTTATTTGCAATAGTGAATAATTTGCAATAAAGCAGATTAAGCCAATGAGATGACATTATGCAAGACACAGGAAGGATAGTTGAATATACAAAAACAAGGGAGAGAAAAACAACTTACAGCAACTTTGAGTGTCTGTGTTCTTGGGGTAGAAAGCATATTTTAAACTATTTCACACACACAGGTTTAATTAGACTACAGAAGATACATTCTTAACTAGTATAATAAAACCCTCTTATGATGAATCTCTTCCCCTCATCTCCCCTGCTAACACTAGAATTTCAATTTAAGCAAAATATAAGGCCAAGCTTTCCCATTTGGCTGGAAGCCCCTTCCAGAACAAGGGCAGGGACAGCATCTGTCAGCAGCCTGACAAGCTGGAAGCAACAAGAGCAGGAGTGGAAATCCAAGTGATAAAACTGCTTCTCATTCTGGTCCTTCTACTAAAGGAAATCCAGTGGTGGCCCTTGACTTACAGAACTTGTACCTAAAGCCAAAGCTGGCAAAGAGTACCTTCAACTGGAATCACAATTAACATATGGGGTCAACACACTGGAAAAAGTGTAGCAATATTGTTTTCTGAGATTCGCAAATATTAAGGCCAGAAGGGACTTTTTCCAGTCTAGACTGACACCCAACAGAACATGAACCAGAGAATTTCACCTGACTGTGTTTCATTACCAATTTACTAGGAAAAGTGAATTATAAGCAGACATCTCTGAATTCATTCAGGTATTTGTTTAATATAATGAAATAGGTCTTAACCAACAGCTCAGACTGACAAATTCTCAGGTTAATGGAAGTAGTTTTCTAACAAAACATAGCACAGCTGTACTTGGGACATCTGAGGAAATCTCCAGTATCAGGTTTCACTACATAACGGTTTAAATATTTTCATACCATGAACTGATTCAAACAAAGCCCCTGCAATGAACGCCACATCTGCCAACCACCCAGTTTCAGACCCTTCCTACAAATTATATTGATATCATAAATATAATGCTAGGACAGTATTAATGAGATGAGGTGACTAACCCCTTTCATGCATAGGAACGGTTGCTTAGTTACATTCTCTGGCCCCATATTATATTTGGGCTGCCTATTTCTTCTCTCTGGATATGGAGCTTTACTTTTATCAGGTCAGTCTTTTGTTGGCTACTGTTATGATTGTACCAACTTCCATAACCCTCTACAGTTTACTTCTGTTCTCCTGTATTTTAAGTACCCCAAAATGAGGGTAAACTGCAATATTATCAAAGCTGAACAGGAAGTGAAGTCCATAAGTCCTTTTGCTCCTGAAGAGCAAGGTTCCCTAGTTTACTGAACACGTCACGTTCCTTCTGGGGTTCAGCAATACAAAGGTCCCTTTAAAATGTTTCTGTTTTATGGGAAAGCCACAGAAAAGTATATCCCCTTTGGAACAAAATATCTCCTACATCCTTTTTCTATACCTATAACCAGACCTTGTTCTCCCATCCTCAGACTTCAACTTCTGCAGCCCCTCCCCTTCTGGCTTCCACATTTGACAAACTGTTTACTGCTCTAAGTTTTGAGTGGTGGAGGCATGTGGGGTGGGGGAAGAGTTGGGTTTTAAGGATTTTGCCTACTTTCCCAGATGATGATAAAGTGACTGGTACAAGTTGAAACAAAATCAAAGCAAGTACCAATTCTACCATCTCCCACATTACCTGCAGTTTCCTACATTTACTGCAAAATAAAAACTAATGCCCAAACTGCATTAATTAGCTACTTAAGTGTCATTTCTTTGAAAATTTAATATGCCAAAAACATCATGAGTGGGAAGAGTACAAACTGGCTTGCACTACACTCTCAGCAAATTACTAACAGGGAAAGAAAAGCCAAATCCTCCCCCTGGTCCAAAGTTGTGTGACATTTTATTTTCAATTGTATAGATC